GAGTACAACAAATCCCAGCAATAATACATTATACAGCACAATGCAGAATACCACCAGCTATAGAGGACTACAAAACCCAGCAATAGTACATTATACAGCACAATGCAGAATGCCGCCAACTATTATGTACTATTGCTGGGATTTGTTGTATTCCTCTATAGCTGGCGGTATTCTGCATTGCGCTGTATAATGTGCTTTTGCTGGGTTTTTACTGTACGGTCGCGCGTCTTTTTTCGAACCAGCATGCTAGAAAACCCGCCGAGAATCGTACGATTGTCGGCGGGTTTCTGGCCTGCTCGTTCGACAATTGCGGAACGGGCCGGTGTGCGCACGCGCGCACTGCCTCTTCAGCATTGCGGTCATCGGAGGCTTTCGATGATCACAAGTACGATCTGCCTGTCCAAGATGGGCAGATCGTACGAGCTTTTAATTAGCTTACGACCATCGCAAGACAAAAGTCTGGTGATGGTTGTAAGGTGTATGGCCGCCTTAAGAAAGATAATCCATTGTGCTGCACTAGGTGACCCCCAACGTGAAACACTTTGTTTCTTTTTGTCAGTTTGCATGATCCAAACTCACAAACTTGGAACAAATAGCCACCAGAGTGTTTTCTTTCTGATTAGTTCATCTTTGGTGGCAATAGTGAAGATTTCCTTGCAAAATAAGGTTGCCACCATGGTACAATGGGAAGCCCTTTGGGGGAAGTAATTAAAAAAAAATCAGTTGTCAGGTCACACCCAACATCCAGATATCATTCAACCCAGGAGAGGACTGACACTTGAGGAAGCGGAAGGCAATGCTGCTTCATGAAGAGGTGACTATTGCTTTTTCCCCCCCTTTTTAACAGAAGGGTGGGAGTGGACAGATTTGTGAAAGAAAAAAACAAGTGGAGATGGGCTGTACAGTTGTGGCCAAAAGTTTTGAGAATGACACAAATATACATTTTTACAAAGCCTGCTGCTTCAGTGTTTTAAGATCTTCCTGTCAGATGTTACTCTGTTATACTGAAGTATAATTACAAGCATTTCATAGGTGTCAGGCTTTTATTGACAAGTACATTAAGTTTATGCAATATTAACCGATTAATCGAACTTAATAATCGGCTAACTAATCGATTTTGAAAATAATCGTTAGCTGCAGCTCTACAAGTAGTGTTGACCCTTCTTATTCAAGACCTCTGCAAATCGCCCTGGCATGATGTCAACCAACTTCTGGGCCACATCCTGACTGGTGGCAGCCCATTCTTGTATACTCAATGCTTGGAGTTTGTCAGAATTTTTGTTTTGTTTTTTTGTTCAGCCGCCTCTTGAGGATTGACCAATAGTTCTCAATAGGATTAGGGTCTGGGGAGTTTCCTGGCCATGGACCCTAAATGTCAATGTTTTGTTCCCTGAGCCACTTAATTATCACTTTTGCCTTATGGCAAGGTGCTCCATCATGCTGGAAAAGGCATTGTTCCTCACCAAACTGTTCTTGAATGGTTGGGAGAAGTTGCTTTTGGAGGATGTTTTTGTACTAGTCTTTATTCATGGCTGTGTTCTTAGGGGAAATTGTAGCACCCCACTCCCTTGGCTGAGAAGCAACCCCACACATGAATGGTCTCAGGATGCTTTACTGTTGGCATGACACAGGACTGATGGTAGCGCTCACCTTTTCTTTTCCGACAAGGTATTTTAGGGATACACCCATACAATCAGAAAGGGGATTCATCAGAGAAAATGACTTTACCCCAGTCCTCAGCAGTGCAATCCATGTACCTTTTGCAGAATATCAGTCTGTCCCTGATGTTTTTCCTGGAGAGAAGTGGCTTCTTTGCTGCCCTTCTTGACACCAAGCCATCCTCCGAAAGTCTTCACCTCACTGTGCGTGCAAATGCACTCACACCGGCCTGCTGCCATTCCTGAGCAAGTTCTGCACTGGTGGTGCCCCGATCCCGCAGCTAAATCAACTTTAGGAGAAGGTCCAGGCGCTTGCTGGACTTTCTTGGGCACCCTGAAGCCTTCTTCACAACAGTTGAACTTCTCTCCTTGAAGTTCTTTGCTGATCCGATAAATGGTTGATTTAGGTGCAATCTTAGTAGCAGCAATATCTTTGCCTGTGAATCCCTTTTTGTACAAAGCAATGGTGACTGCTCGTGTTTCCTTGCAGGTAACCATGGTTAACAGAGGAAGAACAATGAGTTCAAGCATCACCCTCCTTTTAAAGCGTCCAGTCTGTTATTCTAAAGGTGCCCATACACCTTACAATTATCTGCAGATATTCTGTGGTCAGATGGAAAAAGTGCAACAGATTGGCCCAGGTGGAGATTACTCCATCCACACAGGTAAGTGGTGATGGAGGAATCTGTTGCACCTTTCCCATCTGACCACAGAAAATCTGCAGATAATTGTAAGGTGTATGGCCAGCTTAACATTCTGTGTAAAGGAATATTTGTGTCATTCTCAAAACGTTTGGCCGCAACTGTACATGCACTTTAACTACCTCCCAGCCGGCCGATGTGTATACACGGCCGGCCGGGAGCTTCTTGGATGTAACTGGGCGTGTATACACGTCCTGTTACATCCGCCCGCGCGAGCGGGAAACGCCCGTTATTTGCAAACAGGCAGCAATGCCTGTTAATATACAAGCGATCCGCTGGCTATAGAGCCGGTGGATCGCTTGTATGAGGTCCCGTGACATGCGGCTCCCCCCCTCCCGCTGTCAAGCTGGTGCCGGGCTCCGGTGTGAGCCCGGGACCAGCATACTGCCTCTGTCACAGGGGATCAGAGGGAGGTCGGTTCAAGATCTCCCTCCGGTCCCCTCTCCGCTGTCAGAATGCGGAAGTGGTGTATATTACATCACTTCCGCATTCTCGTGCCACTCTCCAGCTTCAGATGCTGGAGAGAAGCTGATGAAGCAGATCTCTGCTTCATCAGCTTCTTCAGGGGGGTCCTAGGTGACATTAGGGGTCTTGGAGACCCCTGATGTCTCCATAAAGATGACCTGTCACCTCTTTTGCTATCACATAGAGGGGTTTCTCAGCCCCCTCTGTGATAGCAATAAAGTTAAGTGGGAAAAAAAATAGGAAAAAAATTTAAAGTTTCCCCCCCCCAATTTTTTTAAAGTTACACATAAAAAAGAATTTAAAAAAACAATTTTTTAAAAAAAAGTCCCCACCCCTACATACCGACCGATTTGGTGCAGCGACGCATGGGGGTTCTCAGCTGCCATTGGGATGTGCGGGATCCCTTGTGTGTTTCTGTGCCTATTAAGGAGGCTGGGCTTCCTCCTGACAAACCTGCACCCAATTTGGGATCTTCTGCCCCCATGTGCTCCAAGATGGAGACTCTCATAGTTTAGAGTTAGGACCGCACTATAAGAGATGCCTTGGCGCGGCTGTGCGGCTTTCACATTTTCTGCAGAAGACGTGTATCCAAACCTCTGTTATTGACCTTAGTGGTGAGACAAGTTGTTTTACATGCTGGTTTGTGAGTGTGCCATGATACCTTTCTACTGTTTTACTGTTCAAAGCCCATTTCGTGTGCACCTTACTGTATAACTGGTAACAAATTGTTGAGTGCGTTTGTCATTTGTTTTGTTTGCCCCACCCCTACATACACGCATGTAAACATGCGTCAGGTGCGCATACCTGCGAAAACGACGATTGCGTCCATTACACCGCATATGTTACATATCGCCGCGAACGTCGGAATGAGAGCAATAGTTCTAGGGCCATCAATCACTGATAACACTAAACTGATGAGCTGTAAAAGCTTTTAAAGCGTCGCCTGTGGCCAATGTTGGGTATGCTAGTTTTTTGCGAGTGCGCGCAATTTTTAAGCTTTGCATGTCTGGTGTCTATTTACCCGACGTGACCCCCCGTCTTTTATATTTTACCAAAAAAGTGGGTAATATTAGTTGTTTTATAACATAATGTAAAAAAAATGTTCTCCTGACTATAGTAAAAAATAAACGCCAGTGGTGATTAAATACCACCAAAAAAAAGCTCTATCTGTCCCCAAAAATGGTATAAAATTCATTTCAGTACAGCGTTGCATGACGGAATAAATGTCAGTCAAAGTACTGCAGCGCCGAACACTGACAAATGGCCTGGCCAGGAAGGGGGTTAAACACCTGGTCTTCAAGCGGTTAAGGTGCTTTTAACCCTTTCACTGCCAGGCCCTGTTCTCCACATTTAACCTCAATTTTTCACTTACTGCTTTTAGAGTTTGTAAACATTTTAATCAATGGCTTTGATTAGCGGCTTGAAAGCCACTT